ATTTTTCAGGAGCCATCACGTCGTACAGAACAATCACTGGCTTCGCCCTTTTCGAAACTGGGCATGCTCAGACCCTGAAGGGGCGTGGCGACTTTGATTGTTTGGTCTGATTGGGCTAGAGGACAATTAACACCCACACGTGGAGTCTACATTCCTCTTTGCTGAGAAAAGGCGTTCAGGTAAGACAACGCCCCTTCTCCTCAAAAACAGGAAACAAAGTTAACCTTAAGATCTTTCCCATTACCTGCTAATTGATTCTTTCTAATGGAGATGCCAGGGAATTTTTGTGTACAAAAAATATGCTCTATAAGTGATCTATAATCTCTCCTAATAATAATAATAATAATAATAATAATAATAATAATAATAATAATTTAATTTATATACCGCCCTTCTCCCGTAGGACTCAGTAATGAGTAATGTTCCTATTTCCCTAGGCCAGGGGTAGGCAACCTTGGCTTAGGGCATATGCTTGCACTGGAATTTAAGGTCTAACATGAAAAAAAAACCTTTTTGTTTTTCTTTCATCAACTGCATAAAAAAGGTTAATACCCAGAACTTGCCTGAATCTCTGGGTTTTGTGCAGTCATGGTAATATGAGTAGAGACTGCTGTGGAAATAATATATTTGACCTTAGCTTGTGACTTAGCACTGAGAATCAATATCTAGGATGTCGATTGATGTTGGATGCATATGGACATTTTGAAAAACAGTGGAACATCATTGAAAGGTTGCAGTAGCCCTTGGCATGGATGTAAGATCTTCAAAGTTTTTATCTCCACTCTTGAATAATCACAATGCATAATTACATTTGAAACTTAAAATGAGATTAAACTTAATTAGATGGAGCTTAAATCTTGCACTGACAGATGCTAGCCTTCTTGATCAGTCACTAGCAATAACTTCTGACTGTTTTGTGAATATTCCAACAAACTTTTTGATTCTAATCTTACTGAAAGAGTTAAAACTGGTGAGGCAAAGGCCCCCTCTCCCCGATTCTCACACTGGCTATGACCATGGGAGAGTGTGACAACAACTTCAAAGTGGCAGGTGCAACTAGATGATCAAAGTCCTGCCCTTTTTAAATGTGTGTTGGACACATTTAAAAAGGGGGAAAGGTTTAAATTGACCAGTCATGCTTTTATTATAGAGTAGATGACCCCCTCCCTTCCTCTGCATATGCTTCTATCAACACCAGAAGTAGCAGCTTGGTAAACAAAGGGGTAGATGAGAGAATGCTTCAGTGCAGCCAAAAATCCATAGTCTAAAAAAGAAGAAAGAAACCCAGGATTTGAACCTTGGCACTGATACACACAGAAACACGCAGGGCAAGATTCCTATGTGCTGGCAGAATTTTTGTTTTTTATTTATATGTTTGGCTTCCTAATCTAGTAAAACTGCTTATGTAATCTTATGTTTGATTGGAAATGCAGAACTAAGAAAGAGAGAGTTTTATCACTATCTTTGGCAAACAGTCCTGTTGTTTACCTGTTGCTTTATTTCTCTTTCTCCATGTCCAGCTTTTGTAACCACACGTTCCATTGGTAAAACCGTTGCTTTAATTATTCTGATCTTTATTGCCACATTCTTCATGATTTTATTTATGTTTTTCATTCCTTCCTCCTTAGTATTAACATTCTCTTTGTTCTCCAGCACATAGTTTTACTATTTGGGAGCTTCGTAAAACAAAATTACCTAACTTTGCTTCGCCATCGATTGTACACATTCAGTACGGTTGATCTTGCCTTTTTTACTTCAATTTTAACATTAACCCAGATTTTTCACTTTTGCTTTCATAATAAATTTTCCTACATCTTTTACTTTCAACAACAAAATAATGCGATCTGCATCCCTCAAATTGTAAAATTGTTGAGGCAGTGAAGATAAGTCATTGGGACATTTTGTTTAGTAGCAGGAACTAGAATGAATATTTTAGAGTTGGGAGTATAAGCCTATCAATCAACCTGGCTATCCTTAATAAAAAAAAGGTATACAGATTGACCTAATTTAGCTACTAATTTATTTAGCAATTGTTCACAGTTATGACAATGATTGAAAAAGTAACTTTGTGACAACCCTTGTATTTATGACCTTCACAGGCCTGTAAAACAAAAGAAAACCGAAGTAAGCTTGTAAGCCTAGTCACGGTTTCACTCAGCAACTACTTTGCTTAATGACTGAGTTGCCAGTCCCAATTGAGGTCACTGAATGAGGAGTACATGTAATTATTAATAAACACTATATTGTTATGGTTGTTCACACAGTCAGCTAAATGTTTAGATGGGGTTTGACATTTTTGTCCATCTGTCAAGTCCTTCCCAAAAACCTAGGATAGGCAGATGTTGTTTAATAATATTAAAGGTATTATTTCAGGATGTAGGCT